TTGTATATTTTATCATATCAATTTTTTTTAAATATTCTGCATCGTGTCAAATATGGCACGAAAGAAAGTGCCTAAATTTTCACGAAATGCTTTCCAAAAAAACACACCTCTAGCTTGAAGCAGAAGAGGATCGAAATACACAGTCCGCAATTGGTTACGTTCAGTAGCCAATAAGAAAACAAGAATTTCGATCCGCCACGTGGGTATTTATGTTCAGTTCAAAGCTCAACAGACAGAACGGCTGTACCGTTCTCGCCACGACAAAGTACAACTAAAGTTGCTCTTCTAAAAGCAACTAAGCACAAAGCCAACCCGGCAACTGATGAGGTTCGTGAGGAGAACCGAAACCATGGTCTTGCCTGATCACAAACTGTGGCAATAACAAAACAGTTTAAAGACTGTTAAGCTTATTCAAAGCTATTACCAAGGGAGGAACTACGCGCTCCAGTCAAAAGACTCAACCTATCTTTAGAAAAACACTAAGCTGGAGTTTACTGAGTCACAATTCAATTCTCCATAGTAAGTTTATGTAGCTTCAGTTTAAGCTGCAGTTCACTCTTATAATTTTGGATCTGTAAGTCACTATCCGTGATAATTTAACATTCTGCAAAGAAAACTGACGAGCTGGGCCCAGCGTGATACAGCATTGCAGAAAAACATTACACTCACGGACTAAAGAAAATAGCTTAGATCAGATCCAGAAGGCACTTTGGAGAAAATTGGAACCCTTATTCAGCCGTAATAAAAAAAAGCTTTACGCTTCAAAAGAGGTCAAAGAATATGCGCTTGCATCACAGGGCAAATCCTGCCGACCAGAAAACAATAACTACAGTCAATCGATATATATGTCATGACCTCTCAGTGTGAAACATGCGGCTAAAACCACATTTGCTCAGTAAAATGCAGAACCTTCCAGAGCATAATCTACCCAGCAGATAAAAACAACTTCATTGGAATAAGCAGCATTTTAGCATGAGGTAAAAGTCGTGTAGGCCTACCACCCCCTTTTATTGCTATGATTTGTTTACAGGTAGGCCCCGTTTTACCTTATGAAAATCAACACTGGCACTAATAAGAACCAAGCACAGAGTAGAAAGTTCAACATTGCGCAACTAACAAGAAACGTATCCACTCCAGTTTTTAGAGGGAGTGTACGGGAACTCTGTGCGCATCTATTTACAAGAGTCTTCGAACTCTTCCACGAAAGAAAGTGCCTAAATTTTCACGAAATGCTTTCCAAAAAAACACACCTCTAGCTTGAAGCAGAAGAGGATCGAAATACACAGTCCGCAATTGGTTACGTTCAGTAGCCAATAAGAAAACAAGAATTTCGATCCGCCACGTGGGTATTTATGTTCAGTTCAAAGCTCAACAGACAGAACGGCTGTACCGTTCTCGCCACGACAAAGTACAACTAAAGTTGCTCTTCTAAAAGCAACTAAGCACAAAGCCAACCCGGCAACTGATGAGGTTCGTGAGGAGAACCGAAACCATGGTCTTGCCTGATCACAAACTGTGGCAATAACAAAACAGTTTAAAGACTGTTAAGCTTATTCAAAGCTATTACCAAGGGAGGAACTACGCGCTCCAGTCAAAAGACTCAACCTATCTTTAGAAAAACACTAAGCTGGAGTTTACTGAGTCACAATTCAATTCTCCATAGTAAGTTTATGTAGCTTCAGTTTAAGCTGCAGTTCACTCTTATAATTTTGGATCTGTAAGTCACTATCCGTGATAATTTAACATTCTGCAAAGAAAACTGACGAGCTGGGCCCAGCGTGATACAGCATTGCAGAAAAACATTACACTCACGGACTAAAGAAAATAGCTTAGATCAGATCCAGAAGGCACTTTGGAGAAAATTGGAACCCTTATTCAGCCGTAATAAAAAAAAGCTTTACGCTTCAAAAGAGGTCAAAGAATATGCGCTTGCATCACAGGGCAAATCCTGCCGACCAGAAAACAATAACTACAGTCAATCGATATATATGTCATGACCTCTCAGTGTGAAACATGCGGCTAAAACCACATTTGCTCAGTAAAATGCAGAACCTTCCAGAGCATAATCTACCCAGCAGATAAAAACAACTTCATTGGAATAAGCAGCATTTTAGCATGAGGTAAAAGTCGTGTAGGCCTACCACCCCTTTTATTGCTATGATTTGTTTACAGGTAGGCCCCTGTTTTACCTTATGAAAATCAACACTGGCACTAATAAGAACCAAGCACAGAGTAGAAAGTTCAACATTGCGCAACTAACAAGAAACGTATCCACTCCAGTTTTTAGAGGGAGTGTACGGGAACTCTGTGCGCATCTATTTACAAGAGTCTTCGAACTCTTCCACGAAAGAAAGTGCCTAAATTTTCACGAAATGCTTTCCAAAAAAACACACCTCTAGCTTGAAGCAGAAGAGGATCGAAATACACAGTCCGCAATTGGTTACGTTCAGTAGCCAATAAGAAAACAAGAATTTCGATCCGCCACGTGGGTATTTATGTTCAGTTCAAAGCTCAACAGACAGAACGGCTGTACCGTTCTCGCCACGACAAAGTACAACTAAAGTTGCTCTTCTAAAAGCAACTAAGCACAAAGCCAACCCGGCAACTGATGAGGTTCGTGAGGAGAACCGAAACCATGGTCTTGCCTGATCACAAACTGTGGCAATAACAAAACAGTTTAAAGACTGTTAAGCTTATTCAAAGCTATTACCAAGGGAGGAACTACGCGCTCCAGTCAAAAGACTCAACCTATCTTTAGAAAAACACTAAGCTGGAGTTTACTGAGTCACAATTCAATTCTCCATAGTAAGTTTATGTAGCTTCAGTTTAAGCTGCAGTTCACTCTTATAATTTTGGATCTGTAAGTCACTATCCGTGATAATTTAACATTCTGCAAAGAAAACTGACGAGCTGGGCCCAGCGTGATACAGCATTGCAGAAAAACATTACACTCACGGACTAAAGAAAATAGCTTAGATCAGATCCAGAAGGCACTTTGGAAAATTGGAACCCTTATTCAGCCGTAAAAAAAAAAAGCTTTACGCTTCAAAAGAGGTCAAAGAATATGCGCTTGCATCACAGGGCAAATCCTGCCGACCAGAAAACAATAACTACAGTCAATCGATATATATGTCATGACCTCTCAGTGTGAAACATGCGGCTAAAACCACATTTGCTCAGTAAAATGCAGAACCTTCCAGAGCATAATCTACCCAGCAGATAAAAACAACTTCATTGGAATAAGCAGCATTTTAGCATGAGGTAAAAAGTCGTGTAGGCCTACCACCCCTTTTATTGCTATGATTTGTTTACAGGTAGGCCCCGTTTTACCTTATGAAAATCAACACTGGCACTAATAAGAACCAAGCACAGAGTAGAAAGTTCAACATTGCGCAACTAACAAGAAACGTATCCACTCCAGTTTTTAGAGGGAGTGTGCGGGAACTCTGTGCGCATCTATTTACAAGAGTCTTCGAACTCTTCCACGAAAGAAAGTGCCTAAATTTTCACGAAATGCTTTCCAAAAAAAAACACACCTCTAGCTTGAAGCAGAAGAGGATCGAAATACACAGTCCGCAATTGGTTACGTTCAGTAGCCAATAAGAAAACAAGAATTTCGATCCGCCACGTGGGTATTTATGTTCAGTTCAAAGCTCAACAGACAGAACGGCTGTACCGTTCTCGCCACGACAAAGTACAACTAAAGTTGCTCTTCTAAAAGCAACTAAGCACAAAGCCAACCCGGCAACTGATGAGGTTCGTGAGGAGAACCGAAACCATGGTCTTGCCTGATCACAAACTGTGGCAATAACAAAACAGTTTAAAGACTGTTAAGCTTATTCAAAGCTATTACCAAGGGAGGAACTACGCGCTCCAGTCAAAAGACTCAACCTATCTTTAGAAAAACACTAAGCTGGAGTTTACTGAGTCACAATTCAATTCTCCATAGTAAGTTTATGTAGCTTCAGTTTAAGCTGCAGTTCACTCTTATAATTTTGGATCTGTAAGTCACTATCCGTGATAATTTAACATTCTGCAAAGAAAACTGACGAGCTGGGCCCAGCGTGATACAGCATTGCAGAAAAACATTACACTCACGGACTAAAGAAAATAGCTTAGATCAGATCCAGAAGGCACTTTGGAGAAAATTGGAACCCTTATTCAGCCGTAATAAAAAAAGCTTTACGCTTCAAAAGAGGTCAAAGAATATGCGCTTGCATCACAGGGCAAATCCTGCCGACCAGAAAACAATAACTACAGTCAATCGATATATATGTCATGACCTCTCAGTGTGAAACATGCGGCTAAAACCACATTTGCTCAGTAAAATGCAGAACCTTCCAGAGCATAATCTACCCAGCAGATAAAAACAACTTCATTGGAATAAGCAGCATTTTAGCATGAGGTAAAAGTCGTGTAGGCCTACCACCCCCTTTTATTGCGATGCAGTCCTACGTATTAAGCTTTACCCTAATTCCCCCCAAGTTTCGTAACAGTGGAACAAAAGTGGCGGTAGATTCTTTAAGTAGTCAGAGTCAAGCTGTGTTGTTGGCCTCCACTTAGCGACATATTGCTGTGTTTCTCACCATAAATGCTAGTAAACACAGAGGCAATTGACCCATGAATGCCACTGGCTATAGCTAATGCTATTTCTTTTTTAACGTGTCTGCACGTAGATTCGCCAAAAAAATACAGGAGCGTACAAGTCAGAAATATCCATAAATAACGAAGGTTAAATTGACATACGAAGCGATAATGGAAGGGGAAACACTAAGTTATGGCGTAGCTATATTCTTCAGTTCTATTCGCCTGACATCCTTTTTATCCTTTATTGAAAGGGGTATCAAATGGAAAGAGTAAAAAGATTGAAAAGGCGACTCGTTTATAGAGTTACATTGTAGACCTTGGGGACCCTTCCTCTTGAAACTCTTAAATCTTAACACAGATTACAGTCTACCTTATACAAAACTAAATTAACTTATTGCTCCGTTATTTGTTATACCAGAACTTTTACATGGGCAAACTGTCCCGATGGGTATTTTCTCCAAGGACTTTACCGCTCAAGCGGTATTGACCTTCACCATATTGAACAAGTTAGATGTTGCAGACCTAAGACATTCAAAAACATATCAACGGACTGCCAAGATCACAGTGTAAGGATTTCACTCGACAAACAAGGCTGGAGCGTATGTCCAAACGGGTACTTTATGGTGGGAATATACAAAGAAAGTTGTGCCAAATTAAGCTGTATTGAGGAGTTCAGATGCTGCCGGATGCCCCCACCAGGTACCCAATCTTATAACTAATTTATAGAAAAACTAATATCTGCGAAGCAAATAGGTATTTATCATTATTATTAACAATTATTTAATGTGTATGACCTGAGGAATGAATTTATCAGATCGAGATCTGCATAATTCTTCATACCACAAGAAAGCCGAAGAAAGCCGAAGTCAATAATTGTTTTATTATTCATTCAAAATATTTCTAAGCCCTTGATAAATTTACCAGTTTCTTTCAGTTTGCCAGTTACATGACGCGCATAAACAGATGTGTTTCCTTGCAGATAATCCTCAAAAATAGATGATCCACCGAGCAATATTTTCTGTTATTATATAAACACCAATGAAATACCAGGTGAGCTTTCGCGCGAAAACATGATATCTTCACACGTGAAAATAACATGTTATTTTTACATGTCAAAATATCACTGTTGCTATGGCTGCATAATAAATCGCGCCTTTCGCAGGATGAAACTGTTTCAGTGAAATGGTTTGGTATTTCATTGGTGTTTATATAATAAATAGAACATTACATGGCCGCTTGGAGAATATATAGAAGATATTACATGGCCGCGCAGAGATACGAAATTTCTCTTCTCGTGTTGAAAATATTTCACTCGTTCGCTGTGCTCACTCGTGAAATATTTTTCAACAGTCGAAGAGAAATTTCGTATCTCTGCGCGGCCATGTAATATCTTCTATATATTCTTGCATTTGTTCTGTTTATTTTTAGTCAGTACTTCGGCTATTTTGTCTTCGGATAGCCAATCACCATTTTGTAACAGCTATATATGAATGTGAAATACTAAAATTTTCTTATTTTGCATGATATAAAATATGGAAATTGTCAAATATTAATATTTGTATATTTTATCATATCAATTTTTTTTAAATATTCTGCATCGTGTCAAATATGGCAATTTCTTCATTGTGTATAAAATAAATCCAAATTTCTATAGTTAGCACGATGTAAAATATGGAAATTGTAAAATAACTAATTATAAATTTCTATACTTTGCGGTAATTTTTTCATAATGAATGTCAAATTGAAAATTTCTGTCTTCTGAATGACGTCAAATATGGAAATTTCTTCATTATGAATGTCAAAGTAAAGATTATGATACAAAATGTCTTTGTAGACATGGTAGTCCTTGGTCATTGGTTTCTGAATGGGAAAGACAAGGATGTAAGGTTAGTGAAAACGTTTGTCATACTGCGGGGGAAATCTATTAATTTTGCAATGTAGGTGACATATAGACTCGAGCTCAGGACACAAAGTCAGATAGGACGTGACCAAGCAAACAAAAACGCTTCTGATGTGACTACGAGGAGCCGCAAGAGGTGATATTTTTGCACGGCATCTGGCGGCACATCAAAGAATTTGGAATTGAAGGGCAAATTCCTAGAATATCTTCGCCAGTTAAGCTAGAGAAAAGGTGTTAAAAAACCTCAGGATCCAAAACAACACGTCAATCAAAATATCACTTGGACCTTTTCGCTAATGAAGAGCTATCGCGCGGCTAAGCTTGAATTAGACATATATTGAAATAGGAACTCGTGTCAATAAAGTAACTTAAGTGAGTGGGAATCGCTCCTAGTTAAAAAACTGGTTCACAGGGAGATGCATCTCTTCTAGTTAAGAGAAGGGAATCAGAACTGATTTTCATGCAGGAACAGGTTTTCTTCGGGCTAACTACAAAACTTCAGCTTATTTCACTCCTTGACATTGTCAAAGCGCATTTTGTAAAGATAACTTTTTCCGCTTTATCAGCTTTTTTTATATTCTATTCCATTAATGTTTAACCTCCCTCAAAAAGCCAAATAATATAAATGCTGTTGTTAAAAAAAGCGTTTTACCTGTTTTCGTGAATTCGCTACGCAAAGATCACTATGCTCAAAGGACAGGGCAAAATTTCCAGGAGAGAGGCATTCATTTCTTTTCCCACGAGGTTACAAAGAGAAAATGCAATGATTATTATTAATGTAACCATCAGGTATACTCTACCGACGAGGTTACGGACAGCAAATGCAGTGATTATTTTTAATGTAACCATCAGGTATGTTCTACCCACGAGGTTACAGAGAGCAAATGCAGTGATCATTTTTAAATGTAACCGTCAGGTATATTCTACCCACGAGGTTACAAAGGGAAAATGCAATGATTATTATTAACGTAACCTTCAGGTATGTTCTACCCACGAGGTTACAGAGAGCAAATGCAGTGATCATTTTTAAATGTAACCGTCAGGTATATTCTACCCACGAGGTTACAAAGGGAAAATGCAATGATTATTATTAACGTAACCTTCAGGTATGTTCTACCCACGAGGTTACAGAGAGCAAATGCAGTGATTATTATTAAATGTAACCGTCAGGTATGTTCTACCCACGAGGTTACGGAGAGCAAATGCAGTGATATTACTAATGTAACCATCAGGTATGTTCTACCCACGAGGTTACAAAGAGAAAGTGCAATGATTATTATTAACGTAACCTTCAGGTATGTTCTACCCACGAGGTTACAGAGAGCAAAAGCAGTGATTATTATTTTAAATGTAACCATCAGGTATGTTCTACCCACGAGGTGACAAAGAGAAAATGCAATGATTATTATTAACGTAACCTTCAGGTATGTCCTACCCACGAGGTTACAGAGAGCAAATGCAGTGATTATTATTAATCATCAGGAATTTCTACCCACGAGGTTACAGAGAGCAAATGCAGTGATTATTATTAATGTAACCATCAGGTATGTTCTACCCACGAGGTTACAGAGAGCATGCAAATGCAGTAACAATTATTAGATTTTAGTGCAACTATCAGGCTGAGTTCCTCCATTAAAAGAGTTTTTAGCTAGGGTTAAAAGTTTGGCTTTCATGAGTTTCAAGATGCAAGAAATTATCAGTATAATTATAGCACACAAACATTGTCATCTAATTTTTCGCACGTAGCCGGAATAAGCCAAGAAATGAAGCATATATAACGAAAAATCGTCCTCAGATGATCTCCATATTAAGTAAATGATACTAAACGTTGCGAAAGAAATTATTGTTTGTATCCGTCCTATCCATCGTAAAAGCGAGGGGTCATCGCATGACATCCGGTATATTAAACAGAGGTAATACTCACGGGTTTCACGAGTTGTATGCACTATTTTTCGCCGAGAAACAAATTTAAATTGCAATTCTTACCTTACAGTAGTCCGTTCTTTCACCTTGCATTCGACAACAAATCTGTTAAAGGCGAACAAAGCGATTCCGGCACTCTTCTTTATGATGAGTAGCAAGCCGCAGGAACTGAAGCCGCTTGACTGAAGTAAAATCCACCGATACGCACGGCATTCTCACTACAAATATAAACAAACGTCGCGGAGAAAAAAAGACGAGGAGGAAAAAATGCCAGATCTTCGCCTCGGCAATGTTTTCCATCTACCATGCCGGCGTATCGCCAGAAGGTGGACTCGACGTGGGACAAACCTTGTGATCTTTTTTTAGAAGCCCTTTGCGCGCAAACTAATTTATTCTGGCGCGAAATGAAGAATATGTATACTGAAATCTAATCCGCGACAGGAAGATTTTCGCACTGTAGCGCGACATATTAAATGCCTGTTTTTACAAGTACGCGGAGAAAGTGGTCCACTAGTTTAACTTTTTTAAAATGAATTTACTCCACAAAAGCAAAATGAAATGTTTTATCTCTATGTTGTTTACGTGCCTGATTAGAAGGCAGACAGACCCCATCAAAATGAAAGTACACGAATGAAACGGAATAAGTCTGGGACGGTTTAGTTTCTACTCAGCAGCTTCTTTGCTTTTATAACAAAAATTTAATGTTGCAGTCTCTTTTAAACGTTGGCATATCAACGCGCACAGTCACTGAATGGAAACAACAGTCACGATCACGTTCTTCGAAACCGACCAGACGCCCGCGACCTACCACTGTTATGGTAAGCAATTATCCTGAAGGTGTTAATGTTCCCGTGACAGTCTTCGCACTGAAGGTGTAAATGGTAAACCGAACGGTCGCTTTGATCATCAGAAAGACCTGTCAACTTTGATGATTTAACTGATTAAATTACGGGACAGAAATTTTACTGCTTGCGGCTCCTCGTTAAAGGAAATAATTCACTTTTGAACTGCGGTTGTAGATGAGAGTGAAGAATGATCATCGCAGTAAATTCTGGTGAATAAGACAGTCCACTACCGATAGTTTGAACAGAAAAAAAAAAAAGGAAAAAAGGTACAATGCTAAAAATTGATTTTACTCTTGTGACTCAACCTTCTACCTGAGAAAACATAGGTTATTTACGTTTTTTGTCCCAGGTTTTTTCGCCACGTAAGCTTAACTGTCTTTTAACTTCTAGATTTTACCCATCATGGTCCTTCAAAGAAGGTCGATGTCCGGGCAGTAACGCCTCCTCCTTTCCTAATTCTACGTTTTTCGCCAGTACGTCTATTATTGATCTCAATGGACGAAGCTTTACAATTTCATGCTGGATAAAGCTAACGAAGAGGAATGAAGGTTCGGAACCAATCTACGGTGATTGGATCAAGCCATGGCAGTTTCTGCTCGGCACAAAAAATCAAAGTATAATATTTAGTCGCCACAAACTAAATGACGCAAATGAAGAATGGTGGTCCTTAGAAAGTTCTGAAATTCCCTTGCACTCTTGGACACACGTGGTAGTCACGTGGCAGCACCTTGCAGGCCAAGTCACTATATATGCCGATGGGAATAAAATAGCATACAGAACATATTCTCCGGATGGAACATTTTTTCCGCCATCTGGGTTTCCGTACAGAATTGGTATAGACTGGAAAGGTCACCAGTTCCAAGGATCAGTTATGGATCTGTACGTCTTTGGCACTTCACTTTCTCTGGACGAAATAAATAGATTAAGAGGTGAGAGATTTGAAATCTCCTATGCTTTCGCTTGCTGAAATTTTATGATCACTGGTAAGTCAATGGGCCCAAGCTACAAGACCGGATTAAGCAGGAGGCAAGTTGAGAGTCAAGATTATAACCCAAAGTCATTAGTAAAACCGATTACGTTTAGAGGGCGAAATAAACAACCAGTTAAGCGGGAGTTATTTTTAAGAAAAATGAAGTTGTGAGAAACATATTGTAACTAGTATTTTAGAGCTTCTAGATTTCAAACTTTTCCTAGGGGAATGCACAACTCTGGCGGCTCTCGCTTTCGCCGATCGCTTATCCTGCCTCGTCTATGCCAAAAATCTGACTAATCAGGGATACTTTTGCGCTGAAGTTGCAAAAACATTCTGTTCACTGGACCGTGCAAGAAAGGTCTTCATACACAAGCAGGTTTTGGGGACCTTAACAATCAAATCCTACTCGCTACAAGAATGTACATTCGATTCGACGAAATCTAGAATAAGCGATTCGCATGCACCACCATAGGCGGTACTATCAGTACAGCAATGTGTACAGTGGCTCTAACCTTCATGAACTCTTGCCTATATTGTATTGGTGCCTTAAATGTTTAAAATTGTTTTTTCCAACCCTCAATTACTGCATTAGAACTAACTGATACATTTTGACCGAAACGTCCAAGGTTTCCCTACCATAGTAAACAGAAAAGTCACAGGAGGAACAGTTGCAATGCAGTGGGAGCCACCCTTGGAAGGAGCATGCCCCGTATTGGCTTATAATATTTACTACAGAAAACTGAATTCACCACGATCTGTAGAAGGCAAAAGGGACTTAATCAGGGTCGATGGCAGTATAAATCACTATACCTTGCAGCTACATTGCAGTGGCGAGTATGAAATAAATGTTACCTCACTGAATGGCCATATGGAAAGTGACAGCAGGCAAACTTGGAGGTTTAAGACCGATGGAGGCAAGTTGAAGACTATCCCTAAGTATGACAATAGGATCTTTAGCAACGACGACGGCGACGGCAACCAGGACGTCAAAAAAGCAATAGGTTTATTACGCAAAACAACAACTTTGCACGTGCATCACGCTTTTGTGTACATTTCTTTACCGTCCTTGCACGACTACGACGTGAAAATGCCTAATTGCAATTTTTATGGAGGACGTAAACAAGCGACGACGAATCTCTTTTTCTCTCTCTTAACTTGAGTGCAGTCCTCAAGAAATCAACTCTAGGGAAATTTGCCTACACTTGCCATTTTCAGCAAATTGGAATAAACGCGACAAAGATTGAAAAAACGGGAATTCATTTTAAAACTGACGTTTTCGCTGCCGTTGCCGTCGTCGATGCTAAAGCTCCCTATTAAACGTTTGAGTGGTAGATGGGTCTCCAGAAACTGAATTCAAATTTGTATGGATTATTGCTAACCCAAAGTTACTGCGAAAAAGGAACGTTAATAGGTTCAACTTTTAAGATTTTTCTGTGGTTTATCACGGTCTATGATAATCTCTAATGCAAAATAAGTGACCACAACTCATTTACTACCAAATGAAGATATTTGCACGCTTTCAAACTACATGAAAATACTGGAAAATAACGGAAGTGGTTTAGGTTTGGCAGCAACCATAATACCGCCCTAAAGGTCTTTTGCCAGACCCCTTCCCTTTTTAATTTCTGGTATGCATTGGGCCAATTTTCAATTAAACGTGCTAAGTTGATGAACGTAAACTGAAATTCACCAACATCAGTATGATCTAGTGTTTCCATGCAACCATTATGGCAACCTAAGGAAGAATTGAGAGACTAGTTTATCCCTACATTGTGGAGATCTCTTCTCACACATAGCCCACCTATGTCAGAGTCTGATTAGTTAAAATTACAATGAGATGGCATTGAGTCCTATCGTCTCGAATAAGGTATAACCATTTGAAGATGTGAAACAAAAGCTGCACCATCATCTCAGTTATTTTAAGACCCATTTAAATGGTCCGGCCGGAAACAAACAAGAGTAAAAGAGCTTACAAGTAGGTCTAGGGGAGGGGAGGAAGGGGGGAGGGGGATTCCCTATGAAAATAGCAGGGGTGCCCATCCAATATTTTTACCAAATCCAATATTTTTACCCATGGAGGTATCGCTAAAGGTGGTGTGTAAAGAAAAAAAATACGAATAGAGATAACAAACACCGTTATACTGTGTTTGAGTATGGTTCCTTTAGAGGACAGATAAAACCTGAACCACGCCCAGATTGGTCTCCTTTTGAATTTGGATAAAATTTTCCAACGAACACACCCGTCATTATCATGCGATAGTCTTCCCTGGGCCAGTCGGCTGGTTTAACTACCTTAGTAGCCAAAATGTAAGCTGTTCAGATTGTATCAATACCCCCTTCTGAGTTAAAAATAGAAACAATATCATAGCTTTGGACCGTTTTTTTTTTTTTTTAACAACAGCGATAAATCATAAACCGCAGCTGTAGTAATAGTAAAATAGTGAAAACTAATTAAGTTAAATTGTATATTCAATGATTTGATGACTTCCCAATGATTTTGTTAAATACCAACGTAGTTTTCAAACGTTCATTTCAGATGTGCCGTCGTCCCCAGTTTTAAGCAGTTTGGAAAAAGAAGCATTCAGCTGCAAAGTCAGCCTGGTCTGGGAAACTCCTTCAGATCATGGATGTCCGCTAATTATGTATACGGTCTACTACAGGCAGCTTGAACTACAACAATCAGGGGCACCCTGGCACGGAATAAATATCACTAACGTCGTTACACATCAATACTTTTTGGCGTTAACATGTGACACGCTGTATGAAATCGAAATGACGGCCTGGAATGAAGTAGGGCAGAGCGATAGGTCAGAATCGGGGATGATAAAAACAAGTTCAGGTAGGCTTTGTAATACGGTAACAGTTAGATACTGAAATAGCTGATCACATACAAAGGCATTATTAAAAGATTTCAGGGAATTTGACTTAATGTTCTTTCAAAATTTTTCCTAACCTACGGCTACCATGCCACTCAAACAAAAAAATCAATCGAACAACAAATGGAACACAACATACCAAGATTCACCTCGCATGGACTTCTTTTTTTCTAGTTTACCATTTAAAAGACCTATAGTAAATTAGTTGAAAGCAAATGGGATACTTTTTTAAGCATGAAATTTTGTATCAGTATCATTATTCTCTTTGTTACCTTTCTACCTTTTATTAGGAACGCTTAAAGACGAGTTCTCTGGTTTAGAACCATCATCAATTGCCGGTATAACAGCAGGAGTTGCTGCTGTTCTTGTTATAGCCATTTTGGCAATATTCGTATTCCGAAGAAAGTTAACCAAAAGAAAGAAACGGGATCATTACGCCACACCCCGAAGGTAAAATTTACATTCTACTGTACGTGTTATTCGTCGCAACATAGGAATTTTGCTGTGTATTAGGTAATCACAGCTACACGTCCTATCAACAGAATCCCCGTTCGATGTGACTTGTTATTACATCACTACAGAGCCTATTTCCCTTCCTTAGCTAGCTTAAGCACTCTCTATTAGAAATGCCCCTATATATGTACACTTTTTTGCTTTTGTTTTGATTCTTTTCTTTGGTTTTTGTTTTATTTTTGTTTTTCTGTTTTCAATTTTTTGTTTTGTTTTGTTTTTTTATTTTCTTTATTTAGGTCGAAGTCCACTATAATCCCCCTAATGCAATGGGAGGTTCTACCAGAACAAGTTATCTTCGAGGAAGAGATCGGTCGTGGTGCATTTGGTAAAGTGTTAAAAGGCATATTTAGGGAATCCCCTGGAATCGAATTGTTTTACGAGCCCAGAAATCAGATCGTCGACTTTAAAGAGGGCAGAACAGTGGCCGTTAAAGTTGTAGGAGGTTAGTAACAGAGCCAAAGTAGTTATGTTCTTCAGGATTATCTCTGCTGTATGTGGAGTTCTTTTAGCAAATTCTTTAAACAGTATCCAAGGCCTATTCTGACTACAGCTTATCGTGTTTTAAGGACACCCCATATTAAGACAAGACCCTTTGAAGGTCTCGCACTTGTTTCTATCTTTAAAGGACGCCAGAAGTTTTTCCTCGTATCCGTTTAATTTCATTTTAAATATCAGTCATCATCATTGCAGTCAGTCGATTCGACTAAGACTGTTCTAGGGTTCAGCACAGTTTGACAAGTCTCCTCCATGTAGGTCTGTCGTTGGCAATTTTCTGCAAACGGTTCAGATCGGCCTTTGACATAGTTCGACTATGGCGGGAAATTTAAGAGCTCCCGCTATATTTTTTTTGTTTTTTCTCTGTATGCCTACTTCCTGACGTTCCCAGATGGCAAATTACCAGTACAAAATGTTTTTCCACTTCATGAATACATAATTTCTGCCTCTCTGATTCAAATCAGCTTTAGTCATGCGAGTTAACGTCATGGAACGAATACTGGTCGTTCCGCCATATGGAAAAAAATCCACATTCAAACTCGACTCCGATCTTTTTGGATTACTCATTCTCTGTGGAGACATCTCCCCGACTCCAGGACGAAAATGTCAGCATCCGTGTGAAATTTGCTCAAAAACAATTAGATCTAATCAACGAGCGGTTCAATACGATTCTCGCGATGTTTGGTATCACGTTAAGTGCAAGCAGATGAGCACCCATATTTATGAAGCACTAGCCAATTCGTCTTACATATGGGAATGTGTTGTTTGCGGGTTTCCAAACGTCTCTAGCTCCTTATTTGATTCAAGCACGATCCGTGCTACAAACTATTTCTGGTCTAGACTTGGATTTACCAGATAAAAGACACAGTGAATCAATCTTTACAAATCAGCCTCAGTATTCATTAACACCATCTCGAGAAAACATTCGAACATCAAACCGTCCACACAATGCCAAGAAGGGCGTTACGCATACCGCACAGAAGTCAATTAAAAGGAAACTATGCCTACTCAAAATAAATTGTCAATCTATAGTAAATATAAAGGACCAACCCCGTGTTATGCTAGATAATATAAAGCCAGACATAGTTGGTGGAACCGAATCCTGATTACGACCGGACATTAAAGATAATGAAATCGTTCCAAGCGATTATACTGTTTACCGCTGTGATAGGAAGACATCTAAGGGAGGTGGGGTATTCATAGCAACCTCTGAGTGTTTCTTGTCAGAGAGCAAAATTGTTCTGGAAACTGATTGTGAAATGGTATGAGTTAAACTATGCGTGACTGGTTGCAAAGACCTCTATATTTATTCATATTACCGTCCTAATGTCAGTGAGGAAGTTATCTCAGAGCTTCTAAATGAATCCCTAAACTGGATAAGTCATAACAATTGCCACCTCTGGCTAGCTGGTGACTAAAATCTACCTGGTCATGACTGGTCAGCTGGCACAAATTGTAATTCTATAACATTGCTTGAATACTTCCTGATGGACGACAACAGCCTCACAAAACGTGTTACACAACCAACGCGGCAAAATACCACCTTGGACTTGTTCCTTTGCAATGACCCATCCCTGATTGAGAATGATAAAGTTATACCTGGTTTAGCAGATCACGATGCTGTTCTTGTGGAAGGCAATATTTCCCCAATCGTCAACAAACAGACACCAAGAAGGATCTACCCTTTTTAAAGAGCTGACTGGGACGGCCTTAGAGCTCATTTGGAGGGCTCCAATAGTGTTCATGCTGAACAAGAGACAATGGACTGTGAAGCTAGTGTGGACGTTGATTCACTCTGGAAGTCATTTATCCAGTTATTTAATTCGGGCATTGAAAAATCCATCCAAAATTGCAAAGCACTGAAAGAATCACTTACCATGGGTTAAGTCTACGCTAAAGAAACTAATAAGAAAACGAGATAAATACTTCAGAATCAAAAACAAAATTCACAAATCTAGAGATATTCAACATCACAAGTCCCTCAGGCGTGAAGTTCGAAGAAGGATTCGCCAGTCTTACTGGACTTATGTTATCAGTATCTTCAGTTATGGAGATAGAGAGGAACAACCCGTACTTGGTAAACGCTTCTGGTCTTTCATTAAGAATTCCCGTACTGACAAGATGGGAATGCTAACACTCAAATGCGGAAACAATGTCCTACCCGACGCTTCATTACCTTGCGCTTAAAAGCGCCATTTCAGACACATTTGTTTTCCTTTTTAGAGTGTTCTAAAATGCTCAGTATCGAGCGACAGTCCTTGTTGGTAAATAAATAAATAGATCGATTCCTCTCCATTTCATATTTCTCTCAGCAACATCTTTGAACCTTAATCTAGGCCTCCCTTGGTTACACTTTCCCAAACAAAGCTAATAGTATAACGGTTGCTGTGGTAGTCTGTTATTATCCATCCTATTGAACGTGACCCAGCCATCTGAGATTCTTCTCGATGACAATATTAGCCATAGATCGTGGTCCTTCATGGCAGTGAATTCCTCAGTTGGGCGATCTTGTCTTTCCAGGATACGTTTATTATGACTTGTAAATGCCTCATCATATGAGCATGGAGCTTCCTCAATCTCTTTGGTCTGTTATATAGTCCATGTTTCAGCACCATATAGCTAGGATGGAAGAAAGGAGAACAGCTCGATGGACCTTGCACTGGACTTTAATAGACACTGCCGGTTTTTTCATAACCTGTCCTGTATTTTTCCAGAAACAGCACTTCCATTTCTATCTAGGCTAGTATTGCTGGAATGCCTCTTAGGTATTTTAAGTTAGTATTTGTATTTAGGTTTTGCATTGGTTGGTATAAGCATTCAGTTTTCTCGAGCTGGATCTTGAGGCTAAATTGGGAGGCAGCCCTGGCGAAACTTGTCCACTAGACTCTGACAGTCACCAGCGCTGAAGACAAGGTTAAGGTAATTTAATTGATTTCTCTTGTTTTAAATATTTCATTTTGTAATTTCGATCTAATTTTAGAACGCGCAGACCAAGAAGCCAAAAAACAGTTCATGGAAGAAATTGAGCTCATGAAAACAATCGGTTCCCACAAGAATATTTTGAGCATGCTGGGTTGCTGTGTTTCATCAGACCCCATTTTTCTGGTACTAGAATATGCTCCTTATGGAGATCTACAACTTTGGCTCAGAAATAAGAGATTGCAGGTATGATAGCTATGATAGCGGTGAGTTCGACTTACTTAAAAAGTTCTAGATTGTTGACGTGACCCTTCATTATTATTCCATTAACATAAGGTTTACGTAATTTAGTTTCTACGTCAGTCACATTGTTTCCCAATTTCCTATAAAAGTTCCGTAACGCGACAAATTTCTACCAATCATTAAATAAGGCTGACAAGAATATGGAGAATTCAGTGTCGATCGAGGAAAAAGGTATCCACAGACACCGAAACCTAAGGTATGAATAACAGCCTCAAAGATCAGCATAATTCTTCACATCGTACAGAAGCCGAATTTAATAATTGTTTTATTATTCATTCAAAATATTTCTCAGTGCATGTTCTGTATTTCTAGCTGTAGGTAAGGCGTATTTATTATATGGCTACAAAAATAGGAGCGCTCTAATTCGCTGCTAGCCAAGACTTTCTTGTAATGACCGGTGATTACTAGCTGGGTGCCCAAGGCATATACAATCTGTGTTTTTAAACACAAAACTTGATAGTGGACATCCATATTATGGTTAATTGACAGCTGTCAAAAACGTGATCCGCTGACCTGTGTCACATAACTGTATCGCGGGCTCAAGAGTACTACACATTAGGTTGTCCTGTTTCTTATTAAAGTTATTCGCTGACCAGTTATTGGTTTTTAATTGATCGTTGGTTCAGGTCCAAAATACCTCACTGTCAAAGAAACTGTGGCTTGTGGTTTCGATCGCATCGCCAGGTTTTTATGTGAGTCTATAAGGTGTATAGAAGGCGTATATAACGCGTATGTAAGACGCATTTAAGGAAGATATAACACTTATGTAAGATGTTTACAAAGTGTATATAAGGGGTATAGAAGGTATATACAGCGTTTATAGAAGACGGATATAAGGTGGATATAAGGCGTAGAACATTAAATGTATACAAAGTGTTTATAAGACGTATAAAAGCTGTATATTAGGTGTATATAAGGCGTATATTCCGTGTAAATAAGCCGCATATAAGGTAAGATATGACGTACGTAAAGTGTATATAACTGGTGTACAAAGGGTATAGACGGTATATAAAGTATGCATCAGGGGGTATACAGGGTGTATATAAGGCGTATATAAAGTGTATATAAAACGCGTGTAAGGTAAATATTTAACAACTATTGAATTCGGCTTTCGTATCATCTGAAGAATTATGGAGCTCTCCGAGGGTTTTATCCTCCGAAGCCGTACGTAGCCCGAGGCGGATAACACCTTCCGAGATTTCCATAATTCTTCAGATGATAAGAAAGCCGAATTCAGTAATTGTTTTATCATTCATTCAAAACAACTCCTAGTTTAAAAGCAAGCTAAAACATGCTTACAAAAATCGATTGAATGGTTCTGGCGTTACTAAACTTCCCTATATTTGAATCTTGGGCGTGGAACTTGATAGCATGTTAAACTTTATAGAGCATATTTGTAGTCAGCTAAAAAAGGCCTATACGAAAACCAGCGCACTTAGGAGAATTAGGTGTTTTGTACCTTTGGACGTTATGCTGGCATTATACAAGTCTTTCATTTTATCACATCTAGAATACTGTAGTCCCCTTCTGTTAGGGGTGGGGAAAGTCCAAGTCAATAAAATTGAAGACACTGACAGGGCACGGGAAATCATTGTCTTACCAAGAACTCTTAAATATATGTAAGTTGGACACTTTAGAGTGTAGTAAAAAGCAGCAGTATCCGATCCTATTATTTAAATGCATTAGGAAGACAAGGTCGAAATACATTAGAGACTTTTTTAGCAGAAGAGAAACGTCTTACAATTTAAGAGGAAATGGTGCTAATCTTTGCGTTCCCAAATTTAATCTTAATTTTATGAGGAACTGTTTTACTTACAAGTGCGCTCAACTATGGAACAAACTTCCAGAAGATGTCAAGCTGGCCGATAATTTTAATATTGTTAAGTCTAAGCTATGATCAATTCAGCTGTAATTTTTATATTTTTAATTTTTTTTTGTGATTTTTATAATTTTTGATATTCATGTGTAAATAGATTATAGATTATACATTTAATATTTTTATATACTAGATTTTATTATTATAATTGTAGATTTAATGCACGTTCGTATTTTGAACGAGCACTTGTGCTCTTAGACGATAACGTGGTTAAATAAAATTATGGTTATGGTTATGGTTATCGATGTTAAGTTCATCTTCGAAAGTGCACGTTAATCCGCAAGTTTAGGAGACAAAGGGTTGTTCAGCTCCGCAACTATTTTCCAAATAGCAGATGTCGTCCTTCGAGTTGTTTTCTTGCTGTTCTTGCTATGTTTTAAGCCAATAGTACACCTTCTTCTTCCTGGTGAAATGAGTAAAACGTTCCGGCATTTTTGTTATCACTACCAAAACAACTCAACCTTGTCCCCAGGTCTTCTCGGTTAACGGTTCAATAATCTGCAACTTTGCTGCACTTTTGGAGTCATAGGTTCAATATCACAAAATTCTTCCAAATTTGGTCGACAATAGCTGTTTATGATGAATAATGCGTGTGATTTTAGCCAATCAGTAACGGAGAAATATTTTGAATGAATAATAGCGGAGCTCTCGCGCGCGAACCGCGCGCAGCGGAGCACCATGGGTAAAAAAATGTGGTAAACTACCCATCCGAGAAAATTTGGTAATCACGTGACCGTACACCGACCGACCGCCCGACCGTTCGTCCGCACCACAGGCATACCAAAGTAAAATAACTCAATCAACAGGTATGGCAACCCAAATGCAACTCGAGATTATTTTGACGGAAAATTGCACAGCCACCCGCGTCTTGTAAAGCAGAGACAACTAAAGAGTCAATAGAGACGAAAACGGAAAGCGGAAATTGTCTCTGTATCCGTGTTTTCTAGAGTATTAAGCTGAGATTAATTGTCCATGTCCACAAATTTGGAATATAGAGCAAGAGAAACACAGAGGAAAAGAGAAAGTAAGCGGCAGGCCAGCGAAGCTCAACGAGAAAAAGGGCGACAGAGATCTAGAACGAGAGATTAAAAACAAAGGAGACATTTTTTTGTTGGAAGAATAACATGAAAATTTTGTAACGGCGGTGACAAAATGAGAAATGCTAGCGGCCAAGAATGCAAGATGAAAATGAGTGGCAGTGAAAAAAAAAGTGAACGAGAAAACGTACGACATTTCCTCCATAAAACGTTTAACTAAGAAGTTTCTCGAAGTTTCACGTTGTAGTGGTACAAAACAACGGCAAAGAAATGTACAAAAAAAGTGTGCTGCACGAGCAAAGTTGCTTTTTTGTTAATTAGACCTATCGTTGTTTTTCACCGTTGTCCGGCGTTTCCTGCGCCGGTTGGCATTACATGATTTTATATTTTGTTGAACAAACTATAAATATTATCGAGAGCTTCGCTTTTAGCCCTGGCTAAATCTATATATTAAAAGACGTATATAAGATGTATATAAGGCGTATATGACGTGTATATAAGACCCATAAAAGGTAGATATAAGACGTATGTAAGGTGTATACAAGATGTATATAAGGGGTGTTGAAGGTGTATATAAGTTGTCTATTAGGTGTATACAGAGTGTAAATAAGTTTTACATAAGGCTTATATAGTGCATATATAAGATGCATATAAGGTGATTGTAAGACATATGCAAGGTGTAAACAAGGTGCATAGAAGTTGCATAAAAGGGGAAATTGGAAATACACATGTCGTGTATAAGATGCATAAAAGGCGTATCAAACTATTCATTTACTGCTGAGTTTTCGGCCTCAAAATTAACGCAAAGGGAAAATTTTGGCTCTGACAAGGCTCAAGCAGCACTTGAAATAAACTAGAAATGCCGCCGCTGACAAGATTACAAAAAATGGCGGTGTTTTTCCCGCCTTCTGTCACGCCATTTTCCAACATGCTTTTATCACGTGCTGTAATGTAGCCCGAGCGGGGTACATTGCTTAACGTATCACGATCGGGATACATGTGATTTTAGTCAAGGCCATGTGACCAAGAATCAGCCAATGGCAGTCCCTGTTTAGTTGAGTGAAAGTATAGGAATATAACAAAAGGTGTATATAAGGCGTATATAACGTGTACGTAAGACCCATATAAGGTAGACATAAGACATATTTAAGGTGTATACAAGGTATATAAAAGGTGTATATATAACAATTATTCAGCGAAGTGGAGGTGGCTAGTCGTGCCTATTTACCGAGCTGCGAAGCAGCCAGGTTAAAATATCCACCACTTGCCTCCGACACTGAGGTGAATAATTGTTTTAGTATGTTCTAAAACAGTGAGAATATTGTTGCCAACGATTACAATTTTGGCGCGTAACGACCGAACGGTCGCGGCCGTCGCTTTGTCTTGCCGACAAATAAAACTTTTGAAGGCATTTGCTTAGCTCTTGCGGGGAAATTTCTTTAAAAGGAGTTGTGAATTCTTTTTGTATTTAATAACATTCTGTAAAAAAAGATTATTAAATTTAAGTTTATTTATGAACAAGTTAACTAAATAAAGTAACTCAAGACTTAAGCTTAATCTGCATTTGTAAACAAAAAACTTTTTCACCGGTTTTATCGATAAATTCGAGTTAAAAAGACAAAGCTTTACCTGTTAAAACTTCCAAACCGAACTTCGTCACCTTCTTCGTGTATTTAGGGAACAGCTTGCTTAATTAGTCCTTGTTTGTTACGGCAGCAAACCGGGAAGGCATTTTGCTCGCAACTTACTCGAGTTTGGCGTCGCTCGCTCGGAGGAGCTGGAGGTGAATCAATGAATAGTGCAGGATATTCACTGATTGAGTAGCCAATCACAGCGGGCGAAAAACACTATCCACTGTTTTAGTACATACTAAAAGATTATATAGGCGTTTTATTCTATAACCCTTATATACAACTTGTATACACCCTGGACCTCTAATATCTACCTTATATTCGTCTTAAATAACCGCCATTTACACCTTATATACACCCTGTATACAACTTATATCTTCTTTATAACTGTCTTATATAGGCGTTTTATTCTATGGCAGCTTAAATACTTGTATACACTTTACATACGTCATATATCTACCTTATATGCGTCTTATATATAGTCAAATCAGTCAATCAATCTATTTTTTTGAACACGGTAAATGGCTCAGCAAGCTGGTTTTCAGACATGCCGTGTAACAATCACAAGCTATAAATATTACTAGTGATCAACTAACAACAATTTAGCACTAGGATTTGCAATTTTATATCTGTTCGTATCTGCTCTTATAAACGTAACTATCTAGTTTTATGTAAGTAAGATTTATTTAGATACAACATAATAAGAAGAATTATAAGATGTTATGGTCTACAGTGTCAAAGGCTTTCTTTAAGTAAATAAATACACTACCACTGTCTGAAATTGATTTACAGCGATAAAATGAAATTTTCGTCATCTTTCACTACAAAAATATAGGAAAACGTTTCCATTAGAACTGTTAAAGTGTAGATTTTTAGTAAAATGCTTTCTATACGCTGCAGCTGATCCGTCTGTCACGCCAAAGAGTTACGGATACCTTGCCAAACGGGGGTATTCGCCGTGGACATTCAGTTTACCCAAAAGGAACTAAGTGATTATTTGAACGACGTGTTTTGGATTGAGCTCTTAAAGGCATTTAATGCTGGTAGTACCTATATTTACTATCTGAGAAGATGTACTTGGAAGACACAAAAGGCATTTCTTAGCCAAGCCAGAATACGACCTTTTTTTATACCCTACAAACTACACCTGTAACATTCTGCAAGGCCCGGCCCAGATATACTTAGCGTGCGCCCTGTAGGTTCTGCGTCAACTTGTGAACGCGGAGACATGAACAAATTTCAGAAGATTGTCTTACCCTTGGGCGATCAAACAGCCAAATTAAACGGTGAGCATAATTGCCTGTGACTTCTGCTTCCCTAACATTATTCTGTTGACTGCTCCCAACATATCTGCCCTGATATTGCCGGAAATCACTATGCGTGACCTATTCTATACTTTACGTTACTCCACAGTTCTCACAGTTCTCACCCTACAGTTCTCACCTGTAAAAAGTCTATTTTCCTGCGTTTGAAACAGTGATAAGCAAATTATGTGCTTTCACATATTGTATCTCATCTAGTCTGAGAGAAAAACGTGCTTGTACTGAAAAGTCTTAAGCATAATTCTCGGTTTTCACTGTCACGCAATCAAAAATAAAATTGCAAACCATTCGATACAGAAAGTCCCGAATCTTGGAAATAAAAGAAGATAAATAAGCAAAAGACCTTGCCAAGAATCAGGTCTGTGCGATATTTCATATGCGAGATATTAGGAAAAACGTTTTACCCAAATTTATAAAGCTTTGTATGGAGGCGCCATGTTTGTGTCCCTTTGAGGGGCACAAATATGGCCGCCGGAAACCAACAGAAACATCTGTTTTTGAGTTTTCCTACTAATGCGTTAATTCATCGCTTAAAAAACTCATAAACTATTAAAGTGATATTTATTCTGACAGAAGGAATGTTTAGATAGCAAAATCTCCCAAAACTGGTAATGTTTTTAACCCACAGAAGAGCAGTCCCGGCCGCCAGCTAAATGCCGCGTCACGCAAAAGCCTAGAAATTCAAACGTCCTCTATCGCAAAACGAAGAACCCTTTCGAACCAAACCTCTGTTTAAATAAAGGTGTTTAGGTGCTGTAATACCTCATGAAACTCAGAATCTCAGAAGAATCGATAGTTTCTTAGTTTGAATTTTGATGACGTCATGTGAAAACCGAGAATAGGCTACTTTTAACAGTTCTCGCCCCTAACTAAATAATAGACAAAATTTCAAACATTATTTTTATACTATAACAGGGCGAGAACTGTCGTAAATCACTCAACGCTTCCGTTTTATGCAGGGAAATAGCAATAATTCATCGCAAACAAACATTTTATCACTGTTTCGATACAGTTTGATGATAAATCAGATTTCCAAGGACATATATATTCACATAAATAGCCGAGAACTGAATGCGAGACATGTTAACAGGCGCTCAACTACTCAGTGTAACGCAACCTCGAGATTACCGTTACACTGTCTTCTTTGGCATCAACGTTCAAGATACTATAAAATATCTACCATTTGGCATGTCTGGAACTGTAGCCCAAAGTGTTACTGACGCTACATTGCTTTTTACAAAGACAAGGAAGAAACTTTGCAAACATATAACAGAAAAGTGCTCTATTAATGATGTTACGGCTAATGTCGTGATTATTTCCAGCACTTGTAGAGCAAAAGAATAGCTGTTCTGGTCTGAAAAAATATATCATACCGTCGTCAAAAGATCAATTCCAGCATTAAGGTATCCATTGTGCAACAGCTCACAAAGCAACGTCTAGTTTTGTAAACAAAGTGGTTTTCAGACAATGGAGGTCAAAAGAGTTGGGACCTTTCCAGTGATATTACTAAAACTAGCGACCCCTCCCCTCCCACCCCAAACAAAGTTGAATTTGGAGCAAAATGGGTGAGAATGAGAGCTTTTTTGGCCACAACATTGCTAGGGGGAGTGGGGGAACGACGGGATGAACCCAAAGCCGAACAAAAAAATTGTCCTTAGGAGCAGGGTTCTACGTAACAATTGCTTGGAAGGGCTTTTTCACACAGTCCCAAGTTCTTTTGTCCTCCATTGTATGTTAGTAAGCCAAAGGTTTACTGCACTTATCAAACGGCTGTAGAGGTTGAATTATTAGGTCTAAAGCCGGCTATATAGACCTTTTAAACAGCTTAAATAAACCTCTATACACATTAATATACAACTTATACACACCTATATCCCTTACATACATCATGTGCACACCTTACTTGCGTCTTATGTCAACCTTGCATGTGTTTTATATACTCGTTATAAACGCCTTATATACATGTTGTAAACACCTTATAGTCACCTAATATGCAACTCGTATAAACGTTCTATACGCCTTATAAACACCTTGTTATACACCTTATATACACCTTATATCCATTGTCTTTTATACAAGTTATATACACCTTATATAGAACCTGGTCTACACCTAGTATACTCCTTATTTATTCCTAAAACAAAACTGAATGCAGGGCTGGTACTACGACAAAGGGCTGATTTATTAGAGGCTAATATCATAATATTTCGGCTAACAAAATTAGCCTGCCTCAGGGCCAGAGCTATACGCCTTATAAACAACTTGTATACACCTTATATACCGTCATGTACGCCTTATATACGCCTTATCTACACCTTGTATACCGTAATATACACCTCATATACACCTTCTATACGCCTTATAAACACCCGGTATTTACCTTATATACGCCTTGTATCCACCTTATATTTGTCTTATATACACGTTATATTTGCCTTATGTACATCTGTTATATACAACATGTATACCCTTAATATACACCTTTAATACACTTTCTATACACCTTATATACATCTTGTACACACCTTGCATACGTCTTATATCTTCGTTATATGCGTCTTATATACTCGCTATATACGCCTTATATACACGTTATATACACCTAATATGTAAGGATATACAATGTGAATATAAGGGGTATAGAAGGTGTATAAAAGATGTATATTACCTGCATGTAAGGTGTATGTAACGTGCATATAACGTGTATATAAGGTGTATACAAGGTTTTATAAGGCGTTGAGAACGTGCATATATTGTGGTTTAATTTTAGTAAGAAGCGCGCCCGAGCGGAGCCCCATGTGAGAAAATCTGGTACTCACGTGACCGTACGCCCACCTGTCCGTCCACACCACAGGGAAATCAATGTTAAATCTCACACTTTCTAGCTACAATGTAGTTTGGGAGCCTGCAACCTGATCTTGCACATCCATGTTCGCGGTCAATTGACAGCTGTTAAAACGGAGTATCCGCTGATCAAAATCACATGACAGAACCGCGGGTTCAGTTGACGACTCATCGAGTTTGCGTGTTTTTTGAAGTCACCCGCTGACAAGTTACCAGTTTTCAAATGATCGCAGGCTCAAGTTCAATTTTTTTAATGCACAGGAAATAAGTTGTTTTCATGAGCCGCACTATTAAAATTTTGATTTCAATCGGAATTCGGACGCAAAAATTCAACCAGTTTTTACAGGCAGGGAAGGCAATTGCTTTTGGCTTTTCTCCCCATGGTCACGCATTGGTCACGCTCTGCGTCCGATTTTTATGCAGTGATTGGTCAAAATTTGACTTAATATAGAAAATCAATGCAGCATCTGGAAACTTGTTTACTGATAGCTGAAGCTAATAGAGTTTTGTGCCCTCTTATGATGTTTTTTAACTACCTTTTTCCACTGGATGTACAAAATGAAATACAGCTGCTATCAAGATTCTTCTTTTATTCGTGGCTGGTTTGTTTATTGGGTTTTTGGTTGAGAAATGCGCCGCTTGTCATTTAATCGGAAATCCGATTTCGAATGGCGTCGTTTTTAAAAACGAGGTTGTACTACACCTTCCTTGATGCGTAAGAGGGTTGAAAAGACGACTGTCAAATCGTGCGTCCTGCACTTGTTTCCGGTCCCCCAAACAGGAAGAAGCCATATAATAAACATCTTATTAGCCTCGTTTTTTCGGTCCGTACTGTAAATTACGGATCCTCGTTTTTTTCCATCGATTTATGGCCCAAGCGCGAAGCGTGCTGGCCATAAATCGATGGAAAAAAAAACTCGGTCCGTAATTTACAGAACGGACCGAAAACTCGGCTAATAAGAGGTATTTATACTAAGTCATTAACTCGCCGCGTAAACTACGCTTGACTTCATGTAACCAGAAAAAAAAAAACGGAAAAAACACAAACATCAAATACAATAATTACTCAGGCTTACCAGTCGAGATGCAGCTCCTGAAAGCCATCAAGTAAACTCAGAATTGTTTGAGTCATTTGACAGGCGCACGAAAACAATAGCACATAACAAAGGCTTTCCGAGAAAGTAAAAACAAATTCGCCATGTTAAAAAAGTTTATTCGGTCAAAACTAAGAGCACTGTAAGTTTTAGCTCTTTAATGTAATGCTGGAGTATTTTGGAAACCGGACACTGTGTCTGTCTAGAAGTCGTTTCCATCTTTCATCCGTTTGTCCTTGTGACAAAACACTGCAAAAGGCAAAGAAGCTTTTCAATGTAAGTTTGTTCTCATTGTCGAAGGATTCGCTCGTTAATTGTTTTTGGGAAAACCTGTTTTTCTGCCAGTTCATTCTCGTCTTCAATTGTGATCTGCGTTAAAATTTTCAAACACTGACTAGAATTATCTTCCTCTGTAACGTTACGATTCAGTTTCTACCACAGCTTCGTTCTTATTGAAACAAAGCTAGGTTAAAATTTGGAAAGGCATAGTCAGCATCCCAGTCCTCAGGGTTTACATACATATTTCAAAGTTTATTCGGTGGAAACTAAGAGCACTGTAAGTATTCACTCGTTAATGTGACGCTGGCGTCTCTTGAAAACTGGACATTATTGTGTCTGGCTCGAACTCGCTTCTATCTTTCTTTCGTTGGTTTTTGAAAAAACACTGCAAATGGCAAAGAAGCTTGTCAAGATGATCGGGTGCAGGTATGTCTGTTATCATATTTGTTGCAGGAATTACTCATTTTCTCTTAGGCAAAACGTCTCGAATCTCTGCCCGTCGATTTTCGTCTTCTTAACTGTGTACTACGATAAAATTTTCAACACTGACTAGAATCCTCTTCGATAAGATTACGAGTTAGTTTCTTCATCGCCTTCGTTCACAAATAAACACAGTTTAAAATGTTGAAGGCCAAAGTCAACATCCAAGTACTCAAGGTTGACAGGTGTCTTATAACTTTATTTCAACATTTTTCCGAGGTAAAGAGATTTAGACCTCCGAAATGAGCATTTTCTTTAAAAATTTTGGTCCGTATAGCAAGTTACGGACCGCAAATTGACCTATCGCATGGCGAAAACAGACTCAGCCATATAATAAGGTTTGATATACAGAACTTTAAAAGCCTTTAGACATTTTCTGACCGCAAATACAAAGAAAACGTTCCGAAAAATATTGAGTTATAATTTTGGTTGTAAAAAGAAACCTTTGAGCTATTTTCTTGCCTCGATTTCATCTTGAAAAATAGCAAACACCGGGAAGCCGACTTAAAAAACTCTGCAAGGCTTTATAGGTTTCTCAGGATTTTCAGAGACACTTCAGTCTCAATACTTTTCTTCGTGAATGAAAATTGTTGTCTCTGTACATGTTTCACCCAATTAGACAGCTCTATTTCTTGTCTTGATTGTTAGTAGTTTCTTTCGCAATTTTAATCGCTGTGCGAACATCACAAGTAGGAGTAGTCAAAATGCCGCAAGTATCAAACGATAAAAACATAAATAAAAAATGAACATAAGCTTAACAAATTCTTTATTAGGTTGAAGGTAACTCTATTACTGTTCATTCAAACACGCAACCGCTCGCACTGCAAAGTTGGGGCTTGTCAAAAGACGGAACCGGCTGGCCATAACAGTGATTTTGGAAATTTTTAGAAAGTTTTCGCTAAAAGCCCATTATTACCCTGCACACTACGTACTTAGGAGCAGATTTATCTGACCGAACAGTCCCGTAATGTCGAATCATCTTCATGAAAACGTTTAATTATGTGATCAATTCTATTGTTTGTTGTGCAAGAGAAGCGCGTACGTGCCTCGATCGTCCTGAATATTGAATGAGTGCTGTACAGTACCGCAAATGATCCCCAACCGCAAATGATCCCGAGACCGCAAATGATCCCCAAAATGGACCGCAAATGATCCTCGACCGCAAGCGATCCCCAAAGTCGACCGCAAATGATCCCGAAAGAAAAACAGGAATGACTTGGACTCAAGTTAGCGGATCATCGTGTCGATTTTATTATTATTACAATAAGTCAGGTTAATAGCTAAATTTTACTTCTCAAATAAATATATGAATAAAAACTAAATGAAAAAAATCATTCAAGAGTAAACACGACGTAGGTAGGCAACACACGACTTTTACCTCGTGCTAAAATGCTGCTTGTTCCAATGACTTTTTTCCGGCTCTGGCGGGTAGATTATACCTCTGAGGAAAACGTTTTGACTGAGCAAATGTGATTTTTGCTGCTTATTTCATAGTGACAGGTCATGACACGCATTTTCTGCGGTTATTGTTGTTTCTGGTCGGCATGATTTGCCCTTTGATGCAAGAGCATTTCCTTTGACCTCTTTTGAAATACAGTGCTCTTCATTGCCGCTAAATAAGGGTTTTAGGTTGTTTAATTTTCTCCTAAGTGCCTCCTGGATCCGAATAATCATAAGCGATTTTCTTTTAGTCCGTGAATGTGACGGTTTCTTAAGATGTTTTGTCACGCGATAACTACCGCTTATCTGGCTTTGCGTTTCTCATTACCAGGTTTAGATTTCTGGTAACTGTCTTCAGCAAAGCACAAGAAATGAATATACATAAAAACGCTAATATAACTATTCACAACACGTTCATGAGATGTAAGAACGTTGCTATTTCGAAATGAACCGAAACCTGTGGACATTGATAAGTTCGGGGGCATTTTGACTTGTGTTTATGTTAAATCATGTCTTGTTTCGTAATGGGCACCTAAGTTACGAACAAACGTCTTGCTGTTTATCACATAAAATTAACACTTCAGAGAAAAATCAAAATGAAATATTCTGGCTGATTAATTTCACGCTTTCAAAAAGATCAGTAAAGTCAATAAAACCCTTGTTAGGTAGAGGGTGCCCGGCTTTGTATTCCTCAATAGAAAGGTTGAGCTTCTAGGCGTTAAAATAATTTTTCTGCGTAACGTCCTGCCTGTCTTAAATTTTTCAAAAGACGAAACATTCTTGAAAGAAAATTTAAGCAATCGACAAAGGAAGAAGTATACGGTTAATACCATACCTTTTCAGATTTATTCCATTTTTTTTTTTCGCCTTGTATAAATTGACCTGAGATGTAGCGTCCTCCTTTCCTTTTTCTTTAAAAGGCGAGAGAAAAAGGTTTCTTTTTTATAATCAGTCCCTTTTTGTAATCAGTCCCATAATATCCATTCCATTCCTCAAGTTTTCACGGGATCATTTGCGGTCGACTTTAGGGATCACTTGCGGTCGAGGATCATTTGCGGTCCATTTTGGGGATCATTTGCGGTCTCGGGATCATTTGCGGTTGGGGATCATTTGCGGTACTGTACAGTGCAATTAATTTTGTCTTGAAAAACTGTGAAAAACCGAACAATTATAGGTTTTAAAAAGGGTAAAAAATGACAAATTCTGTCCAAGGGCTGTACGATATAAAAAACAGCGTCTGATAGTACTGTTTACCTCAAGTGTCTCAGGTGTGATGTATAAAAAGTATAAAAGGGTGGTTTACACGCCACCAGATTTGTCGCAAAAAAAATCACAAAAAGTCCGGCCTGATTTGTTATTTTGGCTTCCCTTTTATTAGACAGAGGAATGCAACCGATAACTTATAAACGTGTAAATTGGCTGTCGCAGAGGACTATCGTGTCTTATAACCGGCCTTTATATATTTCGGTGCTGTCCAATTAACCTTATAAAATAGAGGTGGTGTAGGTGGACGACTGGGTTATTGTGTTTGGGGAGAATTTGTTTTTCAAGCGGTAGCCTAATCTACCGTGATCAAAGGTGGTGGATAATTGTTTTATTATTATTTTTTTATTTCATTTTATTTTCATTTTTTATTTTTTATTATTTTTTTTTAATGCAAAAAAAACATACTTTATTGAACTCTTCTCAAATTGAAAATTAAATACAAATTTAGTGTAACAATAGTTAAAACAAGACTTCTTGGTGGTCTGGTGGTTTTCAACAGAGCAAATGTAAACAACTGTCTATAAACTAAAAAATGAAAATTTCTATGTACATCTCAATAATAAAGTATCTATAGCTGTCGAGTCTAGGGAAGTCAATACAATACAATAAAATAGTTTATTGACACTCCCCTGGTGGGGCTTTTCAGTGACAATGCGACTAAAACAAAAACAAAAAAAAAACTAATTAAGATAAGAGAAGTAGTTAACAATTCGATTAAAAAGAAAGAATGCGGTGAACAAAGCAATATAAACATACCTATTTAAGAATTAATCGTATAATAAATATTCTCACTACGTACTATACAATATGCATACTATCATAACGTGCTTTTTAAAAAATCAGTAATCAACTTATTTTTCAGACAAAATTTAAAAGTAGAAATCGATTTTGCAGTTTTAAGAGTACTGTCTAGATTGTTCCAAATGTGCACCATGCGGTAGTGGAATGTTCTCTGTCCGGTACTCGACTTATACAAGGGGATGTTTAATAATTGGCAACTTCGAGTCACACGCCCGGTGACCGCAATTCTTGTTGTAAATTGATCGCTGAGGTAATGTGGAGCTTGACCAGTCATGCATTTAAATGCCATGAGAGCGTCGCGGAAGAACAGCTTTTGTTTAATTGGAAACCAACGTAGATCTCTTAGTGCGGGGGTTATATGATCAAATTTCCTGGTACCTGTAATAATGCGCGCGGCAAAGTTCTGCACTGACTGTAGTCTACAGATATTTTTGTTCGAGGTGTTCGACCACACTGTGGTACAGTAGAGTAATTTGCTAAAGACTAGTGCATTTATTACTGTCACCAGTTGGTTACGGTCAAGAACATGTTTAACCCGACTGATTTGTGCAAGGCTTGACATACAAGATGACGTAGGTTTTAGAACATGGTCATCAAACGTTAGTTGCGGATCTAAAACAACCCCAAGATCTTTGGCCGAAGATGTAAGAGCGAGATCTTTTCCTAGAAGAGATATTTTGAAGTCGGGGAGTTTGGCAAGTAGCTGTCGGCTTCCAAAGACTACGAGTTTTGTTTTGTCAGGATTTAAAAGTAGAAAATTGTTAAAACACCAATTACGTATTAAAAGAAGGTTGCTATTTAGATCGTTCATAGCAGTCGGACAATCACGCATCTTAAAAGAAATCTGAAGTTTAGTGTCATCTACGTAACATTGCGTTAAACAGTTTCTAGGAACAGAAGGTAAGTCGTTAATGTAAATACTAAAAAGAAGCGGCCCAAGAATGCTTCCTTGAGGGACACCACTATTTAAACGCAACGAATTCGAGAGGGTCGAGTTAATACGCACGACTTGGTGTCTGTAGGTCAAGTAGCTAGTAAACCACGCGAGAGCGTATTTAGAAAGTCCTGCTTGACCCTTCTCTATTTCTAGATCCCT